GGAGGAGAGAGGAGCCTCTGGAATCGGTTTCCTCCTGCCGTTCAGGTGTGCCTCTTCCAGCTGAAGTGTTTTCACCCTCACCGGAGCTTCGTCTGGTCCCGCCCGCTTCCCGCCCCAACTGGGAAATCCGAAGGCCCAGAGACCCAGGCCAGACTGCTATATCCCCAGACAACTCAAATGTCTCCCTTGCCATGTAGGCAGCGCCGGAATGTTTATCCGCCTCCAGTATCGTAGCAGCTTAGGAGTAACTCTCCAGGTCCGGCCCCCAACTCAGGCACAGAGACTCGTTTTTCTGACGCTCTCTCCTGGCATTCTTTCTGACACCCTTTGCTCAAGCAACTTCCAGGTGCTCTTCAAGGCCACCAAACATAGGTCTTTTTTACTCCCTCTGGTCATCTCCACCGTTTCCTAATAATCTGCCTTTCAAGTTTGGGTTTCTTGAGGCACGTCCCTTTACATCCTCATGCAATGTTTCGGAACTATGCCCTTTCCCTTTGATAATATGGTCACACCGCGTGCCGCCCCCTGGCAGTGGGATAGTGTGAGCAGTTACTAAGATTTCTGCTCTCTGCTACCAGAGTGGATGTATATTCAGTTGAACTGTTTTGTAGCAGGAGGCAGCATTTTAGCCCAGTGACTGTGCTTGATGCCTTGAAGTTGGGGACAGAGGAGGTTACTGGTAATTAAACCACTGGGGTTCAAAATCTGCTGACAGGAAGAAATCTAAAATGAGTCCGCAGTATTGCTTTTATATGCCAGTTAAATGTAATATGTTGACATTATAGAGATGCTTAAGTGCAGTTTTAAGCAGCCACCTTGGAACTTCTTAATCAAATTTCTGACCAAGTTAATTCCTAGAGAATCATATAATCATCTTGGTTATTTTTACTTTGATAAGTTTGACTGAATGCTATAAACTTAGCCACTTTTTTTCTAACACCAACCCACACCAGTTCTGTCAGTCTTATTACCAATTCTCCTTGATGCCTAAATTACAAAACTTAGTCATCTTAGAGTTCCCCTGTGTTTCATCTTCATATCTCTTATATTACTGCATCTCATGGTTTCTTTATTCAAAATGTACCTTCGATTTATCCCTTTGATTCTCACTGTAGAAGCTTAAAGCTGTTTTCTCAGACTTTGCTACTTCTTAGCTCATCTACCTGAAGACTCAAATAACAGTTCTGAAACATGACTATGTCATTTTACTCTTGATGAACCTATAAAAGCTCGGGTCCAAATTTCTGTGCTTGGGTTTCAAAGCCCTTTATTACCTGGAGAGAGAGA